GATGGGTCGAAATGGCTCCGCTGGTTAAATTAATATTTCCTCGGAATGTTTACTTTTCACGAATGACTAAATCATCCCCACCTCGTATCCGCGTCTCCCCCTCCCCTTCTCTCCCCCGATCTACGCGCAAGTTTCCAGCACCGGTCTCTTCTGCGAAATCGTTGTTGTCGTTTAGCAACTGCGCGAATTGGCTCAAGTCTGCGATGTTGTCTACTAAGGTGACTTGAGATTTTGCCTCGCGCGTTACGGAGAATCTATAAGTTAGTTATTTGATGGGCGCTTATGATGGGTATTATGAGCTCTTTTCTTGGATATATCTAGGAGAATGATCAGGATGACGCGATTGCTTTCACTCACGTAATTGCTTTCGTCTCACAAAAAGCTTTAAAGCACTTCTTGCTGTGTGTTTTCAACGCGATATCAGAAATATAATTTTCAGTATTCTGACGTGTTTTTCATTCTTGCTATTTTTAACGTTTTTCTGTCTTGCTATTTTGAATATTCTGCCATTTTTTCGTATTTGGTAACACATTACGAAATGATATTCGTTTCATTAGTATCATATTATTTCGACATAGTCATCGTGTTTCTGTACCGCCTCGTGCGCGACGACACCCCGCAGAAGCAGCGATATAAAGCGAGGGAAACCTCGCGGTTGCAATTTACTTTTCCTGATATCATTCCGCGATACGATTCGCCGGTCTCATTTCCCGTCGTAGCGAAAGTGCGGAAGGAGACAGGTCCTTACGCGAAGAATCGTCGGGACGAGACCGACGGCGATCGAAAGCCCGACAATGGAATTGCGATTATCGTCCGAGCGGGGTTGCTTGCCCTCATCAAACCCTATACGCGAGGGCGAATCGAATGGTATGGAACACGATGAGAGACAGGGAGAGGTATCGGCGAAGGAAAGAGGGAGCGGGAATGAGGGCGGGACTGGCACCGGGTGGAGGAGCAAGATAGAGTCAGAGAGGAACGTGCGGGAGGTACTAGGTGCTGTTTGTTGAATCCTCGAGATCAATACGACGTATCCTATCTCTTTCTCCCTCGTAATACCGCGGACGATAGCGTGCGTGACATACGTACATGTTCATGTTCCCGATAGACGTCACGAATGGCAAAGTGATGCTGCGCCGGCCTATCCTGGATTCTCTCCGCGAAAGTATCCGTTAGATTTTATTATTTTTCTTTTCTACGCGAGAGAGAAACAAGTCCAGCGACAAAGGAACCGCTCGGATTGTCTGCCTCGCGATTATCTTTGTGCTCGCGAGGTAAATTGACATCATCAGTGACGATCGGCTAGAATCTCGTGATTAATTACACGATGTTGCGTACATCACTCATGCCAGCTATGATATATTGCTGTCATGAGATTGCAACTAGCGTGGCTTCATTTCCGATAGCTATGCAAAGTAACTTCGCGAAATCCTGATCACGCAAGTTTCCAGAAATTTCGTTCTCCTCAAAAAAGAGAGAGAGAGAGAGAGAGAGAAAGAGAGGGGGGGACTCGTAACTGTTTTCTCTTAACATTTAATATACGTTTATAAACGCGATTTTTACCAGTCTCTGTGCGGAAACTAAATAAGATTTCTAGATTTCTGTCAAGCCTCATCGAAATATATGTTTCACACGTGCAAGTTCAAAAGTCCTTTCACAGAAAGGAGATGATGCAAGAAAAACGAAATTAATCACGATGGCTCTTCAAGGTGGGAGTTGGTATCTCCGGCTTTCCTATCCATTTCCACATAATCCTTCATTCCGCCCGAATCTTCCATAAAGGCCGCCAATTCCACAAAGGGTGAATACACCGTGAGAGAGGGTGGCTTCACGACGCGGACTGCCTTTCAAGAAACGGGGCCGGTCATACCACTTTACTTATCGCACTATTTATACCGCGAAGAATTTCACGAGAAAGCTCTCTCGCGGTGCTTTCTCTCTCTTTCTCTCTCTCCCTCTCTCTCGCTCTCTCAATCCCTCTTTCTCTCACACTCTCCCCGTCCTGCCTCTCCCGACCAATCGAGGAGGCCTGCTTATCGTTGCCGCGAAGGGTGAACTGCGCACTGCGGTACGGGACAAAAATAGGTCGGCCAATTCTCGTACCAGTATCCCTCTTTCACCTCCACCTTACCTATCGACACCTCCGCACCCTTATCCGAGCTCTAATAAAAAACGAATATCTGCGAGTGAGCTTCGATCGCTTAGGCGCGGCCCTTTCGACGCACACTCAGGGTCAAATTTAACCGGCGCTGATGCGCTGAGAGGGAGGTGGAATGTGTAATCGAATTATTCGGTGATATCACGCGAAAATTAATGCGTCAGAATATCGGATGTGTAAATGTGAATTTGTGATCTACCGATTAAGTGTATACTGTTATCTCCAGCGTAATCTCTCCGAGATATGCGAGAAGCGCGGGGAGAGAGAACCGACGTATGTATGCGATAAATATTTACAACAAATCAGATTATTGGCCGATAAAATAGTGAAACCTGGAACGTTAATGTTGCGGTTGTGTATCGGTAATTAATTTATTAAATTCTGCTTGCGGAAACTTGCAAAATAGAAGTTTTTATATGTCAAGTAATTTTTCCCTTACACATATCAGACTATAAAATCTCTGTTAAATCTAATTGTTCTCAGCTGTGAGAGAAGAACGCACGTTCTATAACGTGCGAAATCCAGACAATAATCGAGCTTACTTTCACGTTACTTTCGGAGCAGAAGCTCGTCGTCGCAGTATGCCTGTCTACTAGTCCGAGTGAACACACTCTGTGAGATCGTTTCGAAACTAAAATTTTAAGTATTGCTCCGTAATAACTGCTAACTAATAGGATTGCACGCACCTTCGTCGTTCCATGTTACTCGCGAATATTAGGCATGCCGCATCGGCGCACCTTCCTCCAGCGCATCGCAGAGCCTACATGTACATATATACATACATTAACAACTACGATCACGGTACCGTGTTACGATACGATAGCGATCAGTGTCATCTCACTTTCGCTAAAAGACACACAAGTACGCGTCATAATCGGCATCTCTCTAAAGCACAACGATGCGCGCGGGTGTGTTGTCCGTCCACGTTTGATTTCTTCGTGGCGTGATAACAGCGGATTCGTCACTGTGAGACGATTAGCTGCACGGCCGATCAGCAATGACAGTGCCCCTAACGGAATTCTTTCATCGCGATTTGCTCGGGGACAAATGGGATGACATCTATGCGTTGAGCCTCTCGCGTGTATACGTAGGCAACATAATCACGAGTATGATTCGTGTTTCGTTCAATTCTCGGATCACTGCTTGTCGTCGGGCCATCTATCCGCCGCAGCATATTGCTGTTGGGGTGGTTGACCCGCGGAAGCTTGAGAAGCAGGCTGCAAAGATGGTTGCTGTTGCGCCTGCACATGCGTTTGCACCTGGTACAGGGGGTAGCTCTTTCGCTTTCTGATTCCGTGCATAGAGAGTAGGTGGATCTGCAGATACTGCTTGGTCTTAAATTGCTTGTTGCACACATGGCACGAGATGTACTCGGTCTGCACGGTGTGAACGTTGACGATGTGTTGCTTCAGATTGGAATTGTTCGAGTATATCTTGCCGCACTCGGGACACTTGGGTTTGCCGGTGTGGTTGGTGTTATCCATCTGTTGCTGGTGGTACCGCCTCTGAGACTGTTGCTGATGAAGCATCGCCATACTCTCAATCTTGTCCTTCGCGCAGGACTGCAGCATCAGATTCAGCTGATCGCCCTTAGCGGCACCGCTCTGCTGAAGGCTTTGGAGGTTGTTCTGCAGTTTCTGATGCATCATCGTCAGTTGCTCTGTGTTGAGGCTGTTGAGGGGGTTGAGGGCATTGAGGGTGTGTTGCTGCGACGACTGTTGGCTGGTGGCATGGTGATGATGGTGCTGATGATGATGGTGGTGTTGGAGGAGAGCCGAGAGGTCCTGACCTTTCGAGTTGTGACCACCGCTCTGATAAGTTCCAGACCCGGCGTGTTCGTTCCTAGCGGAGGATGTACCCGGCAGCCAACCGGAACTCGAGCTTGAACCATCTCCTCCAGAGGGCTGCCACCGCCCTGGAACCACCAGCCAATGTCAGTCCTCAGCCAACCTCGTATGATCCCTTAAACACTATTCTCAATCGCCCTTTCTTTTTTTTTTTTTTTTGTTTTTTTTGCCTCTCGCAGCCCTTTCTTATGCGCTTTTCCGACCTCCTCTTTTCTGATAGTGAGTTTCCAGGTCTTAAGGACAACTCGCCCTCGACGACTCTCACTCAGTCCCTCCCCAAACGAGTCTCTCCCTAAACCTAGGATCAAGCTCGATCCTTTGTATAGTGCGAGTTAGCACGGCAATCGTTCCTGGCGCCCTCCTGTGCGCCCTACTTCGGTCTCTTCTTCGTTATCACCTTCTCGAATCGCAGTTTTTGTTTCCGACTCTTATCCAAACTGTCGAATGTGTCGCCGATCGAGCAAAATATCACTATATTGATAACAAATCATCGAGGTTCAGATTTATGGTTTGATATTCGCATGGCGATCCTGAAGACGATCGAGCGCCCTATGCAGGATTCCGTCAATGTAACAAGTTACGACGCGAACCGATTTCACATTTACACAAGTCCCCAAGGCAATTGTCGGGCGAGAATGAGCCTCACGTCGCAAACGTGATGACGAAGATAAAGACGAAGACGAAGGCACGACGTGAAGCTCATTTTCGAACCTAATAGTAATTGCGTGGGTGTGAAAGGGGTTTGCGTCTCTGGCAAGTAAGATACGCCGCAGTAACGAACTTGAAGAGCCGTCGAGGTGCGACTCCACAATACGCTGCTCACCGTGTGATAAGAGGGGTAGCTGGCAGGGGATGCAGGGTTGTGAGAGGTACGAGAGTTCCATGCATTCAACGCAACAACGAGAGACCAGAGTCTTAGGAAACGACGGAAGGATACTAGTCTGGGCTTCGAGAATGTTTAAAAGGGTGAGATCGAATTGCTGATTTAGCTCACTTACCGTAGGTCGAATCCTGATTTGCCGCGTGAATCCCGGACGGTCCAGGTATCAGTCCTGCAATTTACGAATAGAGCGGCTGCTAAATCGAGTATATGCGAAGAGACGAGTGTGAGGAGGCTGTGGCGGTCAAACGACGGCCGATTCGCCGCGTGTGTTACATATAATTAAAAATATGTCACCAACTACTTTGCAAATATTTATCGCGGCATCCGCGCTACACTCAATTACTGACGGCATGAATTCCGCTGATACGAGTAAACAAAATTAAATTATGTTAATGACACGTTAGTTCGTTACGCTTAATAATAGATTCATACTAATGCATTTTCGCAAGTCAAGAAATACAATGAAATTATATACACACAAATGGAAATAATTGTAATTATTCATTAATTAATTTTAATTAAAGCCGTAATTACTAATTAAGTCGGCCTAATTGTTAATTACGAAAGTAATTAGTAACTAGACGAGAAATTAATTATTAATTTCAAATGTAATTAGTAATTAAATGCACTATTATAATTAAAAAAAAGATCGATTTACATCCTCGCGGCAATACTGGGTTTTCTTTTATGCCGCGGTGCCGTCGATTTAACCCTATCCTGCGCGAATTAACGAGCGGCCTGTAATTTACGCCAGCTGCTGTCGATATAAATCAACTTTTTCACAAGTGAGGAAATATCCCGCTTGTTCTTTTTATTTCGGAACACCAAGCGCTTATTGTTAAATTGTGACGGGACGTAATTCTCACAATTTCTCGAGCCCCAAATTGCGTTATAAATATTAATGCGGGATTTTGAGCTGGAAGTCGAATAATTACCTTGAAGATTCAACAGTGCCGCAGGGAAGTTACTACGGTGGTGTTCCATAGCATCGTTTAGAATATCACTTGGCTCGGTCTTTACAGAGTTCAGAATGCTGTCGTTGTTCGACGCGTCCTCCTCGTTGTCAGATATGGAATTCGAGTCGTCACCGGTCGATTGTGCCTAAGCATAGATGAGATTCGAATAAATGATCGATAATGCGGGTAATATGAAGGTTACGCGGAGAATAACAAGTGATAATTGCGGTAACATGATAATGACAATAACGCGCGAATTTGTTTCTCTCTCTCTTTTCCTCTATAATTTCGACAATTATGAAGTACACAGTTGTTAAATAAATTACACGTCATTCCTATAATATAACGTCATATAGTATAACGTCATTAACGAATTTCACGAGATCAAATACTTGTATCTTCGTATGCAAAATTGCCCGTAGACGTGTGAATGCATATTGTCGCTCACCTGTACATTGTTGCTGGGTGTTGTGTGTATTGTAGGACCACCTTCGAGAGCCTGACCTAGCAAGGACTCTTGAAGATCGGACTTGTGTTCGACGTGGTTCGCTATTGTCGGACTGTAGCTCCTGGCTCTTTTGTTTGGCGTGGGGCTCATACCGTCTTCATTGAGATCTCTGCCAGTATCCTGCCAAGGATTACGAGGTGTCGCCTGATGAAATCAAAGACAACCCGGGTAATAGAAGGGAAAAAGCCACGCATTCGTGTGAACGTTTCAACACTTAATCATTCGGTAATCTCATCGATCAGCAAAAGTCCGAACGCTCTCTCATTCATTATTAAAACTGCCGCGCGTAATATTTGTTTAACGTCTATTACGAGGAGAGTCGCGAAATTAAAAGCTAAAGGACGAAGCGCGAAATCCTAGCCGGGATTCCGCCTGTCAGGCTGGCGGCGACGACGGCGGCGGAGGTGGCGGCGGTGGCGGTGGCGGCGGCGGTGGCGACGGCGGCGGCGGCGGCGCCGCGGTGTTAAAAGCACATTAATTAAAATTCGTTTTAATTAAGGCTAAATTAATTAAAAGTTCGAAACCAGCCGTATAATTCGTATAATTAATTTTCCAACTTCCATATTAAACTGCCGGAGACAACTTACAGGTGCGCTACCGTTGTTGCCGGCCGACGACGGTAGCGGCGGAATTTTCGCGGTCGCCGCGCCGCTGTTGACATCCGCCAGTCCTCGAACCTGAAGCATCTGCGCTGTTTGCAAAAAGGTAGGCAGTCGCTCCTGACCCACGTGCACCTCGCCATGATACATAAAGCGTAATATCGACTCCATGTCGGACGGCGCTACGTCCCTTAGAATCACAATTGGATGTTGACATGGGTTCGCCTGCACAGAAAAACAAACATTTCTCTCGTATGTGAATTTTTGGTATTTTTGCAAACTAGATAATAGTCGCTTCAAGCGATACATGTATATGTGCAGCAAATAAAGATGTATTTTTATTTTTTTATATATTTTTTCATATATTTTTCATATATTTTTCATATATTTTTCATATATTTTTCATATATTTTTTCATATATTTCTAATTTTTCCATATTTTTCTTTATTTTTTTCTAAAACATTTCCAATATTTCCACACGGAGAAAGATAATTATTTTCTTTTTTTATATAAATTCTTTTACTATATTTTTGGTAGTGAAGATATAGATTGTTAATAATATTTGTCTTGCTAAGGCATGTATGTATGTCAAATTTGTTTAGATGGTTTTGTTGTTAAATATCGTATTTTCAGAGAGAGAGAGAGAAAGAGAGAGAGAGAGAGAGAGAGAGAGAGAGAGAG